TCGGTGTACGCTGGTTTAAGACGGTCGATAGAAACAGTCTCCGGTTTACCATGTTTGTTCAGCGTGAAGTATTTTTCGGTGCGTTTAAGTACTAGAAAAGGACCTTCATATGGATGTTGTAGACCTTTTCTAATGGCATCGACGCGAACAAATACAAATTTGCTAGTGAGTAGGTTCTTATTTACTTGAGCTTTCTGAAGTGATTGGCGAGGGGCTACTGGTCTAAGCTGAAGCATATGCTGGGTAAGGCGGTTGGTGAAGTCGGAGATATTTACTTCAGTTGAATCATTAGACGGAACTAACTGACCAGGCAATGTGAGGGTAGTACCATACACAAGTTGAGCTGGTGTACATCCCAAATCTTCTTTTACAGTTGATCGGATACTGAGAAGAACTAATGGTAGGTGTTCACTCCACTTAGATGAGTCAGCTTGTGCCATAAGCGAGCTTTTCAGTTGTCGATGGAAACGTTCCACCAGACCATTCGCTGCAGGATGATAAGCTGTAGTGGAGATATGGTTCACTCCAAGGAGTCTCGTAAACTCTCGAAACAGAGTTGATTGAAATTGAGCTCCTCGGTCTGTTGTAATAGTTGTGGGTACTCCATAGTTTGACACCCAGCGATCTAAGAAAACCAAAGCGATATTTTCTGCAGATATATCGTTGAGTGGACAAGCAATAGCCCATCGGGTAAATCGATCAATCGCAGTAAGTATATGAGTAAATCCTCTGGATGGCGGTAATGGTCCAACAACATCTATATGAACGTGTTGAAATCGTTTATCGGGTAAATTGAACTGTTTTGGAGGTGTGACGGTGTGATGATGTACCTTGGATCTTTGACATTGCAAGCATTGGCGGGCCCATTTCCGAATATCGGAGTTCATCTTGGGCCAAACAAAACGCTCGCTGATCAACTTGACTGTAGCACGCACTCCAGGATGAGACAATGAATGTAGATGTTCAAACAAAGTTTTTCGACAACTTAGTGGAACAAAAGGTCTATGAACTCCCGTTGAAACGTCGCAGACGATAGTTGTATCAGACAGGGGAATAGGTACATCCTGCAACTGTAGGGAGGAGTTTCGTCTACAAGTATGGAGTTCGGCGTCATTTTTCTGCAGCTTGGCAATATTGTCTAAGCTAATATCTATCGAAGATAGGTGATTAACGTCACATCGAGACAAAGAATCGGCTACGATATTGGAATCTCCTTTGATGAACTGGATGTCTGTTGAGAATTGTGAGATGTAATCCAGTTGTCTGGCTTCTCTCGGAGAGTGTCTGTCCAACGAAGTGGTGAAAGCATAACAAAGAGGCTTATGGTCGGTTAAGATAGTAAAATGTCGACCTTGTAGTAAGAAGCTGAAATGTTTCACTGCTAGGTAGATGGCTAACAGTTCTCTGCCAAAGGTACTGTAACGAGTTTGCGCAGGTTCCAACTTCTTGGAGAAGAAAGCAAGTGGAGTGATGTCATTATTGAACTTTTGTTGTAAAACTGCTCCCACTGCTACCTGCGATGCATCTGTACATAAAATGAGTGAAGCTTCTGGGTTGATGTGAGATAACATTACAACGTTGGATAAGGCATCTTTTGCATTATTAAATGCTGCTTTTGCTTCTTCAGACCACTGAAATTTCTTCGAATTGCATCTAAGTAGGTCGGTCAGTGGCTGAACTATGGAGGCACATGATGGAATAAAACGTCGGTAGAAGTTGAACATCCCGAGAAAACGTCTAAGTTTCTTTAAGGAATCAGGTTCGGGAAAGTTCTTAATAGTTTCTATCTTATCTTCGGTAGGTCTGATGCCTTCGGCAGTTATTCGATGTCCTAAGAATTCAATGGAAGGGGAACCAAAAATACATTTCTTTGGATTGATAACAACTCCAAATTGTTCAAACCTTTGAAATAACAGGCTTAAGTGTTGCATATGTTCTTCCATCGATGAGCTGGCAATTAAGACATCGTCGATATATACAAAGACGAAATCAAGACCTTGGGTAACTTGGTCCATAAAACGCTGAAATGTTTGAGCAGCATTCTTTAGTCCGAAAGGCATTCTCAAGAATTCGAATAATCCAAAAGGCGTGATAATTGCTGTTTTTGCAATGTCTTCTGGAGCGACTGGTATTTGATGATATGCCCTGACCAAGTCAACTTTGGTAAAAACGGTCTTTCCATGTAAGTTCAAGGAGAAGTCGTGGAGATGAGGTATAGGATAACGATCTGGGACCGTAGCGTTATTCAAAGCGCGATAATCTCCACATGGTCGCCAGTCATGATTAGTTTTAGGTACCATATGCAAAGGTGAAGACCATGGGCTGTTAGATGGTCGTATGATACCTAGCTGCATCATATGTTCGAATTCCGACTTAGCTGCTGCTAGTTTATCGGGTGGTAACCGTCGTGGACGTGCCTTCACAGGTTGTCCTGTTGTGATGATCTTATGCGTAACTGTATGAGATATATCTTCAACGTTGTATGATGGTTTAAGGATTTTAGGAAATCGTTTCAATAAAGCAGAGAACATTTCACTCTCCGGCTTTTCTATACAGATGCTATGAACCGAGTAGTCACATGTAATACCATGGATCTTGAGTTGGGTGCAATTGTCAACCAGTTTTTTCTTGCTGATATCAACCAACAGATTGAAGTGACTTAGGAAGTCTGCACCTAGTATAGCGTGACGTACGTCAGCTACTATGAAGATCCATGTGAAACGTCGGCGTAGTCCTAAATTTAAAATCATTGACTGTTCGCCATACGTCTGTATGTTGGTTTGGTTGGCAGCACGGAGTGAAAGTTTTCCAGGTATTTTGGCTGATCGCCTGGATAGTGAGGGGGGAATAACACTGACCTCGGCGCCTGTATCTACCAGGAATAATGTGCCGGTAGTCAAATCCCTCACATAGAAAAGGCGACTGGGGTGATTGCCATTAACAGCCGTCGCCATTACTGTCTGGCTGGGGAGTTTCCCTGAGATGAGTTACTACTGTTGTACATACACGGTCGAATACACTTCAGGGCATTATGCCCATACCTCCTATGATACCAACAAATGTTACGGCTTTGAGACGGTGTTCTAGAACGTCGTCTAGATCTTGATCGCCGTTGCTTGGATACCGTATGTGACTGGTTCCTTTGTGCTCGAAGCTCGGACACTTCCAGTCGTAAATCTTGCATTTGAGATGTTAACTGGGAAAGTAACCAAAACATTGGTGCGTCCTTCATAGATGTGGAAGGGCTTGGTGGTACTGCCTCGGTAGACACGCTATTTATGCCATTATTTGATAACACATCCATGATATCGTCTGCCATTTTAGCTAATTCTTCAAGGTCTGTCGTCCTAGAAGATATTGTTAGGATTTGTTGAACATTTTGTGGTAAACGTTGTAAGAACATCTGACGTAGAATTAACTCATCTACTTTGTGTGACCCAATCAACTGGCGCATATGTCTAAGTAGTTGAGATGGCTTTTTTGTACCTAGATCACACGAAGTAAGTAGTTGTTGTATGCGTTTCTCATCGGAGAGAGTGGTCCGCTGGATGAGTGCAGCTTTTAGTTTGTCATATTGAGAGTCTGTAGGTTTGCTGTCTATGACATCGATAACCTCTCGTAGTACTTCCGTGGGAATTGCTGCTAATACGCAACCATACATGGCGATCTGCGACGTAATACCTCGAGCTGCAAACAACTGTTCAATAATTGTGAACCAGACACGTGGTTCAGCCAGATCAAATTGAGGAAGTCTTAAATCCGGCAAGGCGTTAACAGCAGAGTTCTGTGTCTCTTCGCCTTTATTACCTTCTTCAGCAACAGTGGTACGTTTAGGTGGAGCCATTGTCATATAATATGTAAGTATATAGATATACAAAATAGAAAAACTTGTGGTAACAAAAATTAAAGCAGTGCGAGTTTATAAGGACAAAATAGCAACAAAAATGTTCAAAACGAGGTAACTATCGAAACAAAAAGGTTCGAAAACGGGTTAACCATAAAATAAGGGTTCGAAACGGGCTCACCAATTATTGTGGTGGACCTTTTCACTCTATTAGCTTAGTTACCCAAATTCAAGTAGAAAATAAAATACCAAATGAGTTTAGTTACGGGAAGAATGTATTAAAGTTTGATTACTTGAGTTTACAAAGGTCCACAGTCCACAATAAACGTAATAGACTCCAGGTGCTGCGGAAAGACTGCTCCAGTAGTAATTCTCCAATGTTAACGTTGCCGGAGGTCGACCAAAGTACGTAGGAAGAAACTACGGTGCTCCTGCAAAAATCAGAGATAGAAAGCAGGTGATTAGGATTGATCGACGGCAGTTGAGATGGTGGAGAAGACGGAGAGTCGAAGGCACAACTGTATATTTATTCAAAACCCGAGGTAAAGTTAAAGTACAGAGTTTATGGTTAAAACAAAGTGGTGTACAATATGTTCATTATTTACATAGTAGTAAAATTTGGATAAGTTTCTTTTTGAGGACTCCACAGGTTTTCTTATTTCTTTTTCCGCCTGTCAGTCTGAATAACTTCACTAATTATATCTATTATTATTATCTATTTTCCTTTGACGACGATACCGGAGGACTAAATGGTGAGAGTAAAAACTCCATTCATAGTAGTGACATCTTAACACACCTCATACTAAAAAGCACATATAATTAATCCCAGCACTACTCCTTTGGTAGTCAACCAGAGCTACGTCAGTCAAGTGGCGAGACGAGTTACGCAGACGTTTACCGAAGACCAGGAACCTATACCTCACAATCAAGAGGCGAGCACATAGAAATCAAATTGGTTTTTACTAGCTCGTAGAAACGATATTGGATATTGGAGTCTTTTACAAACTCTATCAACATTGTATTCATTAATAAAACACTGGATGAGAGTAATGAATGACCACTTTGTACATACTGACATGATTCCTTTACGTTTCTTTCCTTCTGGACAGTGTCATGTAAAAAAAATTTGTGTTTTGCTGCACCATTTGGATAATATTTGCTATTGAGTTGAGTGACCTGAGGTAAACGCGCTGCATAGGAATAGCTTAGTTGTAGCTCATAAAAAATGAACAGGATTCCTACTTTCTAGAATGAGGTGAGGCTTTATATGGAATCTTAGGCAAGTGTTTATTGGTACCAGTAGATCCTGTCATGGAATTTCTACTAAAGAACATTACTGAGTCAACAGTGGAAGTTTTGAATAGCTCTCAGTGTTCCACATGTAAAGCACAACTGTTTACATTTATTCACCAGTGTGATTGCATGTGATTACTTCTTGGAATTATTCCACATGTTTTCGACTTTTAAAATAGTTGTCATAATTAGGCAGGTATGGCATTCTGTGTACAAGCTTGTACACCGGGTGTGTGTAGATCTTGACGATACAGAGTTTTTGGCATAGCTCTTGCTATTTTTTCGCCATTTATTTGGTCAGTTAGTTTTCCGAGGAAGGGATACATAAGCGGTGTTGTGAAGAGTAAACCCGTTCTCGTTTTATATATATATATATCGTATCACATCTATTAGTAGCATTTTATCTTCTACGAACACATCAGGGTGTTCACACAACCTTCACTCCTATTTTTATGGGATTCTTCGGCATCAAAATATTTCTTCATGAAGAAATGAATGTTTGGAGCTCTTTTAAGCATTATATGGTTTAATGGGAATCTTTGATCTTCAGAAGGACTACATTAATGTGTGAAAATTTTCACACTTGCGAAATCTTGTGACTGTTGTTCTGCCAAAAAGGATACCAAAATGTTTGTGCTGGTGTGTTTTCACAAAAATAAAGTCATATTCATCTCCTAGGTGCTCTAGGTTGAAGTTTTTTAGCCTCATCGACATTTCTATAAACTCTAGTAAGCTGCCGTGACTGACTGATTGGCTTCCATCATGGGAATTCGCAGATGTGTACTGCGATTCAAGTTGTCACATTCCTTGAAGCACACAAACGTAGAGAAATGAAATAACTAAAATGAGGAGAAATGTACGGGGAAACAATAGTAGAACGGGGAAACCCTGAGGACTTAATGAGTCTAGAAGAAAATACATAGAGCGTCACCAGTAGTCTTCAGTTATTGATTTTTAGCGTCACTATGATGCTGACCAGTCAGTGCACCTCTTTACCTGGCTCTAACGAGTCGTCAAAGACTTCATGGATTGGTGTCAGGTGTCAACTATTTCATACACTTATACCGTATCAGCTAACATTGCTCGACAAGGAGGTTATTCTCCAAAGCCTTGAAAAGACTTTATATAATGTTTACTTTTTTTTCCTTCACGTTCCCCAGTGGAACGTAGGGCTTCAAGCTAGTGGCTTGAAGTTTCTGTAGCACTGTTTATTTTACAGGATGGGGTTGCTAGCCTCATGCCCAACCTTTCCTCTTTACCAGCATTATTTCTGGCTTAGCGAGGTAAAAGAGTGCGTCTGTGGCCGGTGATCAAACCCTGGACCATTTGCATGGTCGGCGAGTGTCCTTACCGCTATGCCACCGACACACAAATGGTTTTGACTAGCGGTCACTTTTGATTGAGGTGAAGTCACTAGTGTTTACTTTTAGTTTTTCTTAATTAATGAGCATATATAGCGTGTTTTGTCCTTGTTTTACCCTAATGAGCCGTGAAAGAAAGTATAAAATTCGAATCCCACTTGTTATTATAGGTTCTGTATAACGAACTTATTTTCATTGTGAAGTAAGTAAGGCATGTCATATTAAGTTTAAGATAAGATAAGATAATAGCTTTATTCCAAATCAGTACTTGTGATACAGAATGGAATTCTCAGCATTTTTACTACAATATTGCATCCAGTTAGTACGTTAAAAATAAATAAAGTTCTACATAGATTAAAGTTATCTCAGTCGGTTTTGACAACAACATATTAGCATGTCGGTAGCAAAGCCAAAATTAAACAGTGTTTGAAAGTGTTAGAAGAGTAGGTTCTAGCATATTTACTGGCGTAAACAGAAGAAAGGAACAAAGCAGCACATAACAAAAAAGAGAGAGAAAATAAAACGAAAGAAAAAATGTTGTGCCTATAAAAGATATGAGTTGGAAAGACGTGATCCAGTTGTTCTACTGACTATTTAATAAGTTATAGGTTTCACGCCTAATGCTTTCTACATCGCACAGAACACGAGCTAGGTAGGGTACGGTTGAGCTTTTGTACTTACTAGCGCGAGAATATAGTTTTCTATATAGGCTTCTGGTCTGGTATGGCCTCATGAGATACAAAGGGAGAGTTGTGAATGGAGAGGGTGGTGTGAGTTAGATAGGATGGATTTAGCCCATGTTTCACATGAGTCCAAATGCCTGTCAACCAGAATATTAACAAGCTGGTTAAGTGGCATCCTGTGGCTTACCCTGCTGACAACCTTTAACATCCTGCGTAATAAGGTATAGTATTTCTTCAGTAGCCAGCCCAGGAAAAAGTAAGGGGGAACAATACAGAATAATAGGCAGAATACGGGAGTTAACGAATTGTAGCAGTAAGAGTTGGGTTATTCCAGAATGTCTTAACTTCTTGATGTAGGAGGTAAGGTGGAATATTTTCTTAGAGATCATCACGATATTAGACGACCATGAAAGACCGGCAGATAGAATGATGCCAAGATATTTAATTTCTGACATGGTTTCAATTTCAGTGCCATCTATGTTGCACGCCTCGTGAGTTCTAACCCGTTTGTTTAGGTCAGTCAGATTTGTGCCTAAAGGTGAAATTGACTGTTTGGCATTTAGAGGGACTTGAGATGAGTAGACCGTTTTCCTTGGACCATTGGCTGATTTCTGATAAGAAGCCATTTAGTTTAGAGCAGTCACTTTGACATTTGACAGGTAAAGATACAGTTAGGTCATCAGCATATTTGACAAAGTTAATGTCATTTGAAGATGGTAGGTCTTTTTATTCTTTTTTCCAGTGAAGCGTAGTGTATTAACATCCGTATTGATATTTGTGACTCTCCTGTTTTCACGAATAAACAAAAATGTGTTTTTAAATTTAGCTGATATAATAAAGTCAGACAATATAAATATTTAAGAAGTGGTCTACAATATGGTCGAATTTCCTCTCAAAAGTGTATTATTTTTTGTCTTTTATTTTCACACCTTATGCTAAAGATAAACGTTTCTACTAGTCAACAAGCTATATTAGGAGTCAGAACAAAACCTGCCAGACGCATAGGCTAGGGACAGGGGTTCTTGAGACACTGAGAACCAATGGATAAAGACTGTGGGTGACACGATTCAAAATAGTTCTCATTGGTACAGATGTACTCACTCTTTGCATTCTCTCATGTTCATCAGGTCTTCATTTTGTTTCCATATAACTTTTCTTTCTCACATACATTTCTGAATTTCCTCTTTCATCTTTTCTCTGCTTTTATGTCATAACATAAAGTGTAACAACTTGGAGTGATACACTTTTGTACAAAGTTCATTGCTAAAACTCAGTTAGTCAGTAAGTCAAAAAGCTGGTGTCTATCTCTCTGTTTTCGACATAGAACTTTGCACAAATGTGCGGAAGTTCAAGTCGCCACATTCCGTGTAGCACGCGAAGCAAGAGAAGAAAGTACAAGAAAAGCATAATAGAAACAGTGAGCAGAGGTGTGAGACAAAGGAGTAATACAGAAATACAAAACAGTTTCATTGAAGATCATAAGTCACAGGGAGTGGATGCATCTGCGCCACTGAGAACGATTTTGAGCCATGTCACCAATTGTTTCCAACCATAGATTTTTACCGTCCCAAGGACCCCAGCCTGGAAGTCTACACCTTCCTACGTGGCTAAGACCAACTGTTGTGGATTTCATTGACTGATGCCAAGTTTTTGTTTGACCGCCGCTAGCTTTTTTCCAGCCTGACCCTATATCCGCTAACATTGCTCGTCGAGGGAGGCGATGACTTGGCATACGTAACACATGTCCTAACCATCTCAGTCGATGTAGCTTCACGACTTCGTCGATTGATTTCCCCTGTTTACCTAGAACTCTACGCCTAACCTCCATGTTGCTCACCTTATTATACCACTTCACACAGGAGATAGAGCGCAGGCACCTATGATCAAAGACAGCTAATCTTTTCATGTCTTCCACTCTCAGTGGCCAGGTCTCACAACCATAAAGGAGGACGGAGCGGACTGATGAGCTGGTGTATAAAGCTAAGAAGCTTACAGTGGTATTGGATCCGATAGCTAAGCAACATGATAGAATTTAAATTCTGAGGATATTGTATGAAATTTAAATCCTAAAACAGACTACTTTCACTTCAAGTGTGCTCTTTTACAAAGTCTACGGTGTAGGCCACTTTTGAAATTATACTTTAATTGTAGTTATGCTAGTTTTTTGTCCACTAAGTCTGTTAACAATGAAATACGCTCATGTCAGCTGTCAACTAAACTATCTTTCTTATACTTACTTCATTATAGAATATGTATGCGAATGGTTATCCCGTCATGAATTAAAGAAGACAAAAAAAGAAAGATATGACTAATTCTTCTGATCATTCATTTATATTAATTATACATCGTTTACAAAAGAAAATGGATTCGTCGTTTAATTTTTATATTGGTCTTTCACTGGCTTTATTGTCAACAATATTTATTGGAACTAGTTTTATATTTAAAAAACTTGCATTGCGTCGTGCTTCTAGAAATGGTTCTAGAGCTGGTAAGTAGTTGAAATTATTATTATTATTATTTTATTATTGCTTTTCCTTTGCGTTCCGAGTGGGTTCAACAGCACATCTCCATTTCATCGTGTTCTCTATAATCCTTCTTAGTGGAATCCATGATTGCTCATAAGTTTTCATCTTCGCCTCGATCGACTTCTTACTTGTCATCATTGAGCATCCAGCTAGTTGTTTCCTATTTTGGTTCCCATTTCGAGGCACTGTTTGACGTGTGATTTCATTCAGTTATGTGTCCAGTCTGTCTCTATTTGCTGTCGCATATTTACTAAGCAAATAGGTTGTTGGTTGGTGGTGCTCTGACTGCCAGACTTTCTTTTTTCTAATATTTTTTCTGGCCGGTCATCTGATCTTCAGTATAGAACGAAGACAGGTGCTAGTGCCTGTTGAAAATGCTTTCGATGGAACGTGTATGCCAACTCTCTGAACCATAAAGAAGCACTAACTGACTTGACATCAGTGTTGGTCAGAATTCATACCTTGTTCCTTACACTGAATGCAGCAAATTTACACACTGATATTAGGGAATAATCTCAATGACTTAGAATATGCAGATTATATAGTCCTTCTTGGCGAGGACGCTGACAAAATAAAGCAGAGTCTTCTGAACACCTTGAGCAGCAATCTACGAATGTTTGGCATGTGATTCGCTACCGTCAAATGTAACATGATGACAGGACTGGACTACACTGACTCCCAGTTTAGAAATAGGGACTGAAGTGGTAGAGCACGTTGACCGCTTTACTTATTTGGGAAGTACCATCAGCCAGCCCCAACGGGTTGATCTCTGACGAAATCTCAATACGGATACAGAGGGATAGTTTCGCCTGTTTACACCGTCTGTGTCTAAGTAGACGTGATATCCGGCTGGCTATCGACCAAAGGGTGTGTGTACTGCTCAGAAGTTCTCTCTGTCCTCCTTTATGGCTGTGAGTGAGACGTGGCTATTAGGAGTGGAAAACATGAAAAGCATGGCTATCTGGCTGTCTTCAATCATAGATGCCTGCGTTCTATCTCCCATGTGAAGTGGTATAATAGGGTGAACAATAATGAGGTTAGGCGTCGAACGCTAGGTAGTTGGGAGGGGAAATCAATCGACCAGGCTGTGAAGTTATATCGATTGAGATGGTTAGGACATGTGTTACGTATGCCCAGCCTAGCCGTCGCCTTCCTCGACGGGCAATGTTAGCTAACTGACATGGGATTGATCAGGTTGGAAAAGAGATAGCTAGTACGTGATGATCAAACCAAAGCACGGCTTTATCAGTCAATCAAATCCACAAAAGTTAGTTTAAGCCACGCAGTGGGGTGTAGACTGGCTTCCTGACTGACTGGTTGGGGTCCTCGGGATGATGGTAAGAACCATTGAAGGCTGCAGATAATTAGTGGTGATATGGCTCATCCGAACTGATAGATGCTAGAAGACTTATTCCGGCGAGCTCCGAATTCAATGAGGAGCGAAAGCTGCACAAGAGGAAACTTACGAAAAGTCTCCGCAAGGACCGTGAACAGTGGTGGGCGACAAAAGCCAAAGAGATGGAGAAAGCTTTGAGGATAGGCAACACCAGGCAACTCTTTGGACTCATCAGGGAAACGGGTGGGAGAAGACAAATCATTAGTGAGACAATCTCGGAAAAAAATGGCACTATAATTAGCTCACAGGATAGACGACTGGATCGTTGGAAAGAGCATTATGAGGAGCAGTTTAATTTGCCCACAGCCACGCTCAACCTTCCGAGCATCCAACACCTCCCTGAATGGGATATAGACACAGGTCCTCCGTCACTAACTGAGGTTACTAAAGCTGTCACCAATCTGAAACTAGGCAAAGCAGCGGGACCTGATGGAATGACTCCAGAGGTATTTAAGTACGGTGGAGACAGCTTACTGTCCGGATTAACTGAGGTACTAGGCAGCGTCTGGGAATCAGAAGAAGTCCCATCGGGTTGGTGTAAGTCACTGATTATCCCCATATACAAGAAGGGAGACAAGTCTTCCTGTGATAATCACAGAGGGATTAGCTTGACTAATATAGTATCTAAAGTCTTAGGCTCAATAATCATGCGTAGACTGAGTGGTGCTCGGGAAGCACAAACACGAGAGAGCCAGGCAGGCTTTAGACCAGGAAGAGGGTGTATTGATCATATCTTCACCCTCCGACAGATTCTAGAACATAGGCATTCCTACCGGCGTCCAACAGTCATTATATTTCTTGACCTAAAGGCAGCATTCGACTCTGTCGATCGGGAAGTTCTCTGGAGATGCTTGGCTGTAAAGGGAATTCCAAGAAAATATATTGCACTGATTAAGGCACTCTATTCGTACTCATACAGCCAGGTGAGGGCTTACGGCGAGCTGTCATCTGAACTGATGACGACCAGTGGTGTCCGTCAAGGATGCCCATTATCTCCTTTTCTATTCAACTTCATCATAGATGTGTTAATGGACTTAACCCTAGGTGACTTCAGTGACTCAGGAATTGACTTGCTACCGGGGAATAATCTCGTTGACTTGGAATATGCAGACGATATAGTCCTTCTAGGCGAAGACGCTGACGAAATGCAGAGTCTTCTAAACACCTTGAGCCGCAATCTACGAATGTTTGGCATGCGATTCGCTCCCGCCAAATGCAAGATGATGTTACAGGACTGGACTACATCGACGCCTAGTTTAAAAATAGGAAGTGAAGTGGTAGAGCACGTTGACCGCTTCACTTATTTGGGAAGTACCATCAGCCCCAACGGGTTGATCTCTGACGAAATCTCAGCACGAATACAAGGGGCTCGTTTCGCATTTGTTAGTTTACGCCGACTCTGGCGTAGACGAGATGTTCGACTATCGACCAAAGGGCGGGTGTACTGCTCATCAGTCCGCTCCGTCCTCCTGTATGGTTGTGAGACCTGGCCACTGAGAGTGGAAGACATGAAAAGACTAGCTGTCTTTGATCATAGGTGCCTGCGTTCTATTTCCCGTGTAAAGTGGCATAATAAGGTGAGCAACATGGAGGTTAGGCGTAGAGTTCTAGGTAAACAGGGGAAATCAATCGACGAAGTCGTGAAGCTACATCGACTGAGATGGTTAGGACATGTGTTACGTATGCCAAGCCATCGCCTCCCTCGACGAGCAATGTTAGCGGATATAGGGTCAGGCTGGAAAAAAGCTAGCGGCGGTCAAACAAAAACTTGGCATCAGTCAATGAAATCCACAACAGTTGGTCTAAGCCACGTAGAAAGGTGTAGACTTCCAGGCTGGGGTCCTCGGGACGGTAAAAATCTATGGTTGGAAACAATTGGTGACATGGCTCAAAATCGTTCTCAGTGGCGCAGATGCATCCACTCCCTGTGACTTATGATCTTCAATGAAACTGTTTTGTATTTCTTTATTACTCCTTTGTCTCACACCTCTGCTCACTGTTTCTATTATGCTTTTCTTGTACTTTCTTCTCTTGCTTCGCGTGCTACACGGAATGTGGCGACTTGAACTTCCGCACATTTGTGCAAAGTTCTATGTCGAAAACAGACAGACAGACGGTGATATGGCTCAAAATCCTCATTGTCAATGTCTGGCGCAAATACATCCACTCCTTGTAACTCATAATACCTAATAAAACTCTATTGTTCTTCCATAATACTATTCTTTTCGCCTCATATTTCTGTTTATAATCTCTCTCTGTTTTGAATATCTTTTTACTGCCTTCTCTTGGTTTGTGAGGTACATGGAGGGAGTGTGGCAATTCGAACTGCTGCACATCTGTACAAAGTTGTTCTACGTTAAAACCAGTCATTCAGATATCAGAGTAATGAAGGCCTTCTCTCTTGCCTTTCTGGTCCTGTCTTATTTTGACATACTCATCCGTGCTACCACCTGTAGTTGAAATATTGCTGTGTAGATAAGTGACAGAGGGATGACTTCGTATAGGTTACTTCATAACCTCTGTCTTTTCTGTGTTCACTTGAGGTCCTGGAAAGGCCAACCGTAAGACTAACGACCCTAACCCAGAAAATCAACCAACTTGTTACAGAAACTTTAGAGTACAGAAAATACCACACTACATGAATCTGCATTTATTGTCTTAGGGCTAGTGAAACTGCCCGTCAATTTGTTCAGGCTGAAGTAGGCATAGTAGGGTTCGAACTCGAAACCCATTGACTTTAGGTGGTTAGTAATATATTCACTCCAGTTGATATCGTATTCCAAGATTACAATCATTTAAATCATCTGATGAATAACACCTTGGAGAGGAGGATAAAGCAAGGGACATCCATTTTATTTCATTGATGTATCTCTTATCAAAGACCAAAACAAGTGATTCAGCGAAGAGACACTTTTCGACGAATTTATTATCAAACTGTATTATTATTATTATCGTCTCCTTTAATTTCTAAAGGATCATGGGTCTTTAGCCGCACGTCTCTATTGCGTTCGGTTCTCCGCCAACGTTTTCACCTGACTCCATGTCTACTCCCGTGTTTTCGTCTCCATTTTGCATGACCTCGCACTGACGACCAACTCGCAGCTTCCCATTCGGGTTCCACTTGAGCGATGGCCTGGTGTGTGATGTTACTCACTTGATGGTTTGTTTTCTCAGATTATGGCCAATCCACCACCTGGATTTCTTCCTGCATTTTGGTTCACAATTGGTTCCTGCTGGGTTAGTTCTCTCATTGCCAGAGGTCCCTCACTATTGCTGATCTTTTCTGGTTGGCCATCTAATCTTGAGTAGCATTGAGCGAAGACAGCTGTTGATGCAGGTGTGTAGTTTGTTCGAAGTGCCCTTCGTGAAGCGGCGCGGCGCCAAGTGTGTGATCTGTAGAGTAGCACTGACTTCACATTGGGGTTATCAAGCTGTACAATCGTATATATATATATATATATATATATATATATATATATATATATATGTATAGTGCGCGATAGCCTTTATGAATTTCAAAAGGCTTGAGAGAAGAAATTGACTAGCATTGTCAATCAATTTAGCTTT